ACCTCTAACCCAGGGAAAGTTACAGAGCAAAGCTCCTCCTAGGAGCCATTGCCAGCTATGTGATGCACAAGGCAGCTGCTAATAACCCATCTGGATTTACCAAGATGAGCTCTAGTGCTGTGGATAAGGAAGGGGAAGATGGCAAATGTTGTACACTCTGACTTTAGGATGGCTTGATTTGACTTCATTTCTTCTTCAGCCCTTAAAAGAAAAACAGAGAAGATATGCACTGCTTAAGCAGATTTGAGGGAATCTGGCTACACTGCTGTACTCAAAGAGTTCTGACCAGCAGCACCAACTGTAATGGCAACTACTTACTAGGAGCTTCACTCAGGGATCCATACTGGGATGAACACTATTTATTGTCTTTATTAAGCAACCTGGATGACAGGACAGAGTGCACTCCCAACAAGCTAGTGAGTGAAATCAAACTGAAGGGAGCAGTCAATACTTTGGAGAGCAGGACAACATTCAGCTATTCCTTGATGGACTTGAGAAATGGGCTGACATTGGGAATGTTAGGGAGTTCAACAGGAGTAACTGTGGAGTCTCCATCCGGGTTAGAACAACCTTGTGCAGTGGCACAGATTGGCTAGAAAACAGATTTGCAGATAAGGAGCTGGAGAATCCTTTGAGTGTTAGTCAGCCTTGGAGTGCCACTTTATCCGTGCAGGAAAGGTCAATCACATACAGGGCAGCATTATCAGTGTGTTATCATCAGGCCAAGAGAAGTAATTGCTCAGCACTTCTGAGCCTAAACCTAAATCATTGTGTCCACTTTTGGGTTTCATGCTTCAAGAAAGGTATTAATATACTGAAGCAACTGGTCTGAGCCTAAACCTAAATCATTGGGTCACTTTTGGGTTTCATGCTTCAAGAAAGGTATTAATATACTGAAGCAACTCCAGACAGGACAATGATGGTCCAGTATTTTAGCAGGCTGCCCAGAGCTACAATTTCCATCCTCAGAGACACAGCCTGGACACACAGCCCAAAATAACCCATTCTTGTTGGACATGTTTCAAACCCAGGGTTGAACTAGATGACTGCCAGAGATCCTGTCAAACCTAAGCTACCCTATTGCTCCGTGAAAACTCAAAGCCTTATTCCTGAAGCTCATGATCACTGGAGAATTTATCTTCCTGTATTTTACTGGGCAGGTGAAAACACCCATCCACATACTGTAAATAAAAGGTCTGGCTCTTAACTCTTTTAGTTATGTTAATTAGTTGGTTGGTACCATATATCAGATTCAACATCTACAGGTGGAAAACATATTCTTATTGAAGGACTACTTCAGTGTTTTCCTTCACTTCTTTCTTATCCTCTTGTATTTGCCTTTCCTCTCATCTCTTTTAGTCTCCTTTTCTGTGCTTTCTCTCTTTTTGCAGAGACCTTTGCCCAGCCCTTTGTTCATTATACTATGAGAATATCAGGAACATCCTTTCAGATGCCACGATTAACTTCTACTAGAAATCTGTGATGTCTGTGTGCAAAGAAGGGCTATAGACACAAGCACATTCTGACTTCGAACTGAGTTTTTGCCCACTTCATATTTAGGAAGTTAATTTTAGTCACGTAGGTTAGAAAATGAAATTTTCAAACAAACCAGAAAATTCTAAAACCTGAAAACTGAATTCTAGAGTTTGAATATTCTACATGTCCATCCCAAAGATGTGCTGTAGTAGCTGTCTACATAATAATTATATCCTCATTTTGAAGAGCACGTTAAATTTCAACATTTGAAGTGAAACGGAAACACAGTGACAAGATAGGAACATTTTACATCATATGAATCAAAGAGACTGGTTTTGTACAAAGAAATAAGAAAAGACATATACAAACAATATCCTTGAAAAAAATAAATCAGAGATGTAAAAATTGTCTGAGAAGAAAAAATCAGGGGCAGGTACATCTTACAAGAGAAATGCACTATTTAAAGTCTAAAAGAGTGACTACTAAATGCAGATTAAAATAAAACATTAGCACTAGCAAATATATGCACAAAACAGAGGAAAATGGTTCTAAAATGCATGAACAAAGGGTTAGAAAGCTAAATAAATGTAGCTTCTGCAAAAATTCTTGCTGTTGTCAATAGAAGTTCTGTGGGATTACATTTGCAGAAATAACTTATTTTATTCAGAATGACTCACTACACTTACTAACTGTGGTGTTGTGTTTTTCTTCATTCAAGTTCTCCAAAAAGCCATTAAGCTGACAAATTCACAACCACATATTTTTTGGGGGACTAAAAATATCAGGTATAAAAAACAGCTGCAGATAATACAGGCACGCAAGCAGTGCACTTGCAATTCAATTTACTAAATCATTTCAGTGACCTGCATTCCTACAGTCAGCCCAAACACTGCCATAATACACTTAAGGTTCCAGCCTTTACTCTGAACATGCTAAATATTCACAATAACATTCCTTAAAATTAATTAACTCTGTGGAATGTGACTACCCTTGATGGTTGTGTTCCTCTACCTGCTGGAGCCCTGGACTCAAAGGACTCACCTACTGCGCCCAATCCTTTCACTACACGTGAGCAGGACAGCCCATTGCCTGAGGTCTCTCAATAGCAGCAAAAGCATTAGGCTTTGTTACCCAATACTCACTAGCTAATGCCAATATTTCATAGGAGGGCAGCAAGAATGCAGAGAAAAATTTAAAAATTTATCTGGAGGTGAAAATAAAGGTTCCTCCTGTCCATGGATACCCCTGCTGAATCTGTGCAACTTGCAGTTCATTAAAATTTGAGACTAACCATCTAACCAACAGTTTACAATCCCCTCATGAAGGCAGAAGTCAGACACCTATCCTAAAGGAAGCTTCAGTTTTTAATGCCAAGACTATCCAACAATATATTTTGTAACCTGCTGGGCTCCATGTTCCTCACCTTGCCTGCAAAAAGCTGAACAGTGTCTGCACATATACGGTAAACACAAATGTATGTTTGCACATATATGGTAAACACAAACACCTTGTGACACACAGCAATTTCTTAATTTACATGTTCAAATCCTGGAGCTCTCAAACAGATATTGGACCAACAGCAGCTGTAAACAGAAAACAAACAGCTAGAAGGACAAACAGTTAGTGAAAGAATGCAACCTGCACCATTTAGCTCAAGCAATTAGCTTGAGCTAATTTATCATCGTGCTAGGCTGGAATGGCAGTTAATATACCAGTGTGACTCAAAGGGCACAATCTAGTACTGTATCTTAATCAAAGGAGGGCAATATTTTATCAGATCAAAGCACGAAATCTATACTGCTGTTGTTTTATAATGATAAAACAATTCTGAAACAAACATTTCCTTTACGAAGAAGCTGGGATACTAATGTCACACTTGAGCAAAGACATGTCTGCGTATCTCAGAATTTCCCATTTCTACAGCAGACCACCAGTGCTGGACACAGAACCACACTGTGGTATTACTTTGCGTACATATGAAGCAAGTTCCCTGTGCAATTTCCCTTTAAGCAGTCCTGAATTCTCATGACTTCATTTAAAGCAATTTTACTCTCTGATGAAGCTGAATAATTAAAAATTATTCAAAAACAAATAAGGAAAAAAAATCCAGAATAAGACTGGTAAGTTTTCCCAAAGATTTTCTGAAGGTGATATTAGAAGATGAATGCTCCATTAAGACTGAGGAGCTGAAAGCCCTAGATAGAGCCCTTCAGCTCTTTGGCATCTAAGGGGAATCAAGTCATGTGTACAATGGGAGTTCAATACCAGAAAAATCAGTGCACAGTGTCAACCAAGTGCTCCAAGTAGGTACAAAAGTAGTTCACAAGGCTCTATGTTCTGCTGTAGCAAAAACATTTCCTATAATACAAAGCAACTTTGCCATCTGTGTTTTCTTGAGGCTTTCTGATGAGATGGACGTGTTACCAGAGACCCTATCTCTCTACACACCTTCACCACTACAATGTCAGCCGACATCTGTGCTGTGAACACAGCCCTAACGTTTCCAAAGAGGCATCCTGCACTCTGCATGGGTTGGAGCTGCCAAAAATAGCCTTATCAGGACTTGTTGGTTGTTTAAGATCAGGCCACTAAATGAGGTCATGAAACAGTCCTTTGCAGTCATGAATGATCAGTATCAGCTTTTGGGGAAAAGCCCAGGTAGCTCTCAACCACAGCCTCTAACAGCAAATGAGAGGATTTTCCATGTGCCACTGAACTCCAAAACTCTCTTAACAAACACACAATTTACCTCTCACATTAAAAGCTCTTCACCCATAAACAAGGTTATTTCAAGTACAAATGGGTTAACTTACAAATTGACATCCCATTCCTTTCCTACTCCCTAGCCACTCATTCTTGTCATTATTATTTTAGGGGAATCAGATGTGTGTTTTAGAAGCTTTTTATCTTTCATGTATTTACCTTATGTTTTTCATTATTATTATTACTGCTTAAAATGTAATAAACAGCTTACAAAGGCAGATCTCTCTACTAATCTCTCAAAGTCTTTAACTCCCTCATACATTTTTGAAAGGCATTTCTGTAAATCCTCATCATTATGATACTAAAACTGGGAATGTCCACAGACGTTTGAGACGTCTGCTTTAACACCACATCTCGGTATGTCTCAGTTTTGAGGTTTCCTCATACTTCATCAGATCTCATTGGTAAGAAGTTCTAAGTATGTACTGATTACACAGCTCTTTGCTGTAAATTAAGGTATTTTTAAGTGCAGATGGCATATAAACAAAGTTTTTCTCATACGAGAGAGATTTTAGCTGGTCAACAATTAGTCAAGTAAACCTCTAGGTGAAGCCCCTTCTGCGAAAGTCAGCAGTGTGTAACCTCAGGGGGGAGGTGGAAGTATTGTTTCTAATTACCCTCTTTGAGCAGACTAATTGCAAAAGGATCTAAAATAGATGCTTTCACATCCCATAAAACAGTAGGCAGCAAATCAAGACCGGCACACAAACAGGGCTGGGGTTTTTTTAAGCCCTTGAAAAAACCCTACCCCTCCCACAAAAGACTCACGTAATCACTCTTGAGAACAATGCGCAAGCATAAACCTCCTCAGCCAAGCCATCCTGTTCATGCCCTTAACTGCTCAGAGGATCCAAGAAGCTACAGAGATGTAAGTACAGAAAAGAACTAACTTTTAACTTTTTTCCTTTGCCACTGAGCAACAGCAAACAATTCCAGAAATATTTCCTTTTTTGCATTATACTGGATATTTTCATGTGGTAGTAAGGACAAATGAGCTTTGTAAGGGAAAGGCCCATGGAAGAAATTCTCTGATATTTTATATTCCCATATTAATATGCTGCTAGTTAGTTTCCACTTAAAGGATCTGTTGATCTACAGCACCAACAAGCTATTCCAACTCCTTTCTCATAGTACAGCCTCCTGACAATCACAGGGAAACATTTCATACTGCCTTAACTTAGACAAATTTTTAGCAATACTAATTTAAATTATACTTGTGCAGAAGAAACTACTGTAGAAGTAGTAAGGGAACCACTCTAGCTCTAAAGTCACTGAACCTCACAGAATAATAGTAAGAGAGAGCCTTAAAACAAATCCATACTGTGGTTGTGAATGCACAGCTTGCTTTTATCACATGCATTTCACGTCTATGAAAACAGCCTTTATTATCAGCTCGAAAAGTTCTCACTCTTCTCATGTCTGAACATTGCAACAGAGCATTTTAAGAGTCCAAAGCTTTATGAGCTAATTCCTCTTTTAACTTCTAGTGCACATTTCTGTCAAGGTTTTTAGAAGGCATTCTTCTTCTGAATTGCAATGACCAAACATCTTTGTCCTTATTACTGGCCTTTAGATATATTACAAGTGCTATGATTTTTATACACCTTCCCAATTTAAAAGGATACATTTTTCCTATTATACTGTCAAAACAAGACAGACTGTTCAACAGACAATAACTCAACTATCTTTTAGCTTAAAAAATAAGAGAGAGTACATGCCTTTGAGCATAAAATACAAGAGATGTGTCTAATATTTTCATGGCTGCTCCTGAAGAGATAAGGCGATTGAAAATTTACCTGGCAATTAGTCTTTAAGAAGTCAAATATCTTTTTCTTTTCTGGTCAAAAGACTCAGGAGTATGTACAGAGAATAATAAAATTAATATAGAAACTATAATCTGAAGCTGTAAACCCTAAAATTAAATACTATACCTGTATGGGTTTCATGTAATTCAGAAAAAAACCCCCAAACTCAAATAGGTGTGCATGTTTTCTAGTACTAAAATACAAATCCTCATTTGACTACTTTTTTTCTTCTGTTAGGAAGAATGTAATTTTCAGTGGCTCACACTTTTATTTTGCTTATTTGCTCTAGTTTTAGGCTGTCTCCTTTTTACATTTGGTACATCTAAGCATTTGGTATAAACTGAAGGGAAGTTAATCATCTTAGCATCAGTACAGCTCTTCTGGTCAGTATGTGTTTTTGGCATAGACTATTTATGTTAGATACACTTTTTGTGGAACACATCACCCTTGAAAAGAGAGATCCAACAGATATGACCAGGGTATACCCTTCAAATTACTTCCACTTTTTCTTTAATTAGTTATGCACTTCAACTCAACTTCTTTTATTTCCATCTCACTTACCGTAGTTTCTATTATTTTTTAGCACCAAATATAACTGTCATACAACTGTCATGCAAAATCTGTAGTAACAGACTATAGACTATATAAAGATCCCACAGTGTTGTGCACTTGCATGTTCTGTTAAGCAGCTAAAGAATATTCTAATTCTTTATAGCCACTGTTAAGACAATATTTGGGATTCTCTGATGTGTGTGTTATAAATTTGGGTTTACTATGCCAACAAATCTGGATCTATATCAAAGAGGGATAAAAGCACTAGCCTGGAAACTCTCTCATCAAAATTAGCTGTGGGTTGTGACCTGAGGACTCAATCTTCACATCATTAGGCCTTTAGAACACAAAACTCAACAGCTTTTGAAAATAAATTAACAAAAAGCACTAGAAGCACGAGTGTTAAAGTGTTAGAAAGAAAGAGGAAGTTTTAGGACATGCCTATCTCACGCCTCAGTTTTTATTAAACTACATGCAGTCCCGTGTTGCCAGTCCACACACACCATATTATGAACCTTAGGTACATGTTCTTTCTATTTTAACAAGGTATTCTACTATGCAACCTAGCACACACACTTTTTAATACACATAACTTAGCTGAATCAAGCCTTTTTCTCAAACAGAGAACACTCTACAATAGAGATCACCTGTACGGTAAAATAGAAATACAAACAGTAAATAGGACTGCTCACAGAAAAAAATAATTTTGAGATTAAGGAAAAAATTAAACCTACAAAAACAGAGCACTGCGTATTTCCCATCTTCTACTGTTTTAAAGTAAAACCTACACAGATTATATCTATAGAGGACTGTAAATCAGTGAATCTTGCACAGAAGTCTTTCCTGACCATTCCTTTAAAATAATTTATACTCTATAGAAAAGAAAGAAATAGAAAACAACATAATCCCAGGATAGAAAAACAACATTAACCCCCAACATGATTTGTTAAAGAACTATTGTCTATCTCACAATGATTAAATCATACTATGTATAGAGAGCCAGGAGAGATCTTTCTAATGAACTGCTGTGACTTTCCAAGAATATAATTAATACCTTAAATTAGCAATTGGACCAGGGACAAATGGACCAGGGATTCATCTTCAAAGAATGAAAATTATGAAGAGACACAGAGAAATCACACGTTAGATTACAATACAGAGTAAAAGCCTTCTACATGTCCCCTGTTCTGCCGAAAAGACAGATGGTGCTTCTCAGCAAAAGCAGGAGATGAGAACAAGAAGAAATTTCATTTAGCATGCAGAGAGAGCTTTCTACCACTGCTTGCACACAATCCCAACCCATGTAATCTAAGGTGCAATGCTGCAATTGCTGGCTCACAGCTTAAGTCTATTCTTCTTAACAGTTAAATGTATGTAAGGTTACGATTCTACATGCAAAGCTCATCACACACGAACATGTCTGTGAAGCACAGGTTTGGATTACACAGTACTTCCAGACTGGGGCCACCATCCTGTTCATCAAATACCTTTGCTGTGGGGATTAAACACAAAACAAATGTATAAACATAAAACAAATGACTGATGCCAGTCAAATATTTTCACACAACATGAATCTCCCACACAAACTATTTTTCCTTCTTTGATGAGATTACAATAGTGGTTTAGAAAGACACCTGCACAGATTTCGGACATGCTAGATTTTGTAAGCAGCTTGCCATTGTGCTGCAAATTTTTTTCCCCAGATGAATGCTATTGCTGTGAAACATCAAGAAGCACAGAGAATAGACTAGCAGCTGCCGAGCTAACAAACCTCATAAGTAATTTGAAAGAAATTTGCTGGTCAAAAAGCAAATGTAGTGCTAAGACTTGAAAATGGCATGGGAAAGAACATTATAGAATAACCTGCACTGGTTGCAAGCCTGGGCATAGTATTTAACAGTAAAATGAATTTTAAACTCTCCCAGATATAAGGTACTCCCAGGTCAAAGCAGAGAGCAATGGCCATGCCCTTACACTGGAGATACCCTATGACAGAGTGAATCAGATCACTCCTAGATCACAGTGAACTAACTTCACAAACTCCCAGTGCAATGCTACACAACTATCTTGCATATATAATCCACTGAGCAGAAAAAGCATCTGGAACCCCAAGTCCTGTGTGGGACACAGCTGCAGTTAGAAGAGACATCACAGGATCATCTCATCTTGTAGTGAAATATTTGAGAAGCTTACCTTGAATTGTCTAAACCATGAGATTGTGTAAAGGTAGAGACTCGATGCAAACAGCAACTTCAAATTACTTTTAGAGATATTTAAGAGAGAGACACACATTTTTTAACAGGGAAGTTGACTGAACAAAGACTAGAGTACAAATGGGTAATTTGCTTTTTCTTCAGTTCTCAAAATCAAACAGCACCTTAGAAAGTATGCTTTAAATGAAAAGTTATTCATACACAATAACTAAAACAATCTGAACTATACAGAAGATTACATTAAGTGAGTAAGTAGTCTGTGTCACTGAGTGTTTATAGTCTCAGAAAATGTGAAAACCTGAACAACCTTTCTTACAATACAGATAGGCAGACAGGAATTTTCAATACTTTATACCTGAACATTTTGGCATGTAACGCTAACCCAAAAACCTCTGGTACTCTTTTCTTAAACAATTTAATTGGTAAGGGAAATTAATATTATCTTTCTTCCAAGTATATACTTCAAAGTAGTATCATTAATTAAGCTGGAAAGCCATTGGAAGGGTCTTTAATCCAATAATGTAGAAGAGCAAAAGTTTTAGTAGTGATTCTAGAGGGTAAATTCATTGGTGCACCTGGATTTGGGACAGTCAATGGCAATGTTCTCATGAGTTATTCAGGCACACAGATCATTAAAACAGAGGCATGTCCAGCTAATCCAAGGTTTGCAGCAGTAAGGATGTAACATTCTCCATTTATTCTCCAATAATGTAAAACTCATAAAAAGTATTCAAAATGTTCTTTTTTTAGATACATTCTGTAGAGGATGTCATATGCTCTATGTGTAAGATCACTCAGGATTGCTGCCAAGAAATAATCAGCAACCTGATACAAGGAGTAGGGTTTTTTTTAAAAGAGATCTTATCTTACTTAATAGTCTAGACACCTTTCAGGAAGAAAATATTATTTACTTGGGTGCTGCACATTATGGTGGATGGTATCAACTTTATCATCTGTTTGGGCCACAAACCAGATAAAATCCCTCTCTCTCTCTCTTTTTTTTTTTTTAAATGAATATATTCAGGTACTGTAGCACCTAAACACCTTGGTGGCTCTCAAAAATGCCCATACATTCCTACCGGTAGACCAAAAACTAATACTAATCTACAGCATTGTAAAATGTGTTCCCTACATCAACAGTCAAAATATTTTGGGGATAACAGAGAATCAAAAAGAATACTTTTTGCCCCTAGGGCTCACTCCCACAGCAGGCAGAAGAGGAGCACAGCTTGGCTGACTGCACACTGCCCTGGAAGATCTATGAGCTGTGCTCCTCCAGCTTTCTCCTCATCCATTTGTGGCCAGCTTGCTCTGCCATGGAACTGCTCCCAATATATATCCATGCCAGCTCCATGGATAGACACAAACACTTGTCTCAGCTATGACCCCTTCTCAATACAGCCACACTTAACTTATATGGGAGGATGCACAGCATATTTTGAACAACAAGTTCTGAATTAATTTATTACATTAAAGATCCAAGTTCAGAGCACAAAATTAGGTAACATGCAATTTATGAAATTCTACTCTTGATGTAAAAAATTACATTTTACTGACTATACAGGTTTCTTCTTAAACTATAGTTCAATGTGTTTGTATAATAGATATAGACTATGAATGGATGTGACAATCATGTGCACTATTTTTGAACCTAAACTATTACAACTTTAAAGCAAAAAACCCCCCATGCACTTAATATGCTGTAGCTAGTTACTGCAATTGAACTGTTTATCACAAATCTTAGATTATTCTTTCCTAAATATGTTGATAAAATTATTTTAACTAAATCTCAAGAAAGAGATTAATTGAAGATACACATGATGCTGGGAGTGTGAACAAGAATTAGAAGCATTTAAATATGAGAAACAAAACAAAATACCTCACTGACTCATATACAGGTACCTACACAAACCCACACCATTTTACGCAAAGCCTGTTACACTTAGATAAAACAAAATCCATCCTAAACACTTCTACAAGGGAAAAGATGGGAGGAAATCATACCAGAACTATCCTCGGGGTAATAACTACTGCATTAATCAATCACCAAACACACTAACACCAAGACAGCATGAACAATGCAGAATTAATTAATATAAAATTGCTGGCATTCTTAAACCTGCACTACAGCTGGAGCTGTTATTTAACAGATTAGTTCCCTTATTCAAGGCACAGAACTCCCAATTCAGATTTGACAAACAACCCTGAATGCAGTAACCCCATGTCTTGAAAGACCGTACGTACTTCACAAATATCTAAGAATCTGACCATTGTACATCTATCAGTCAGAAATTACTCACCTATCTTCCCTCCTAGCTATGGAATGCAGCAAACACAGACTTAATGTAGCACCTGGAAGTCAAATTTCTTCCTCAAACATGTAGCATAACTAGTTTACATATTTTAATACACATCATCCACTATCTGCAGGTTTACTGTTTACAGAGAAACTTTAATTGTGAACATCCTGAAATAAGAAGGACAATCTCCTCAAATCATGAAAGAAAATACTAACCTTTAAATGCTTTCAAAAGTTAATAAAAGGATAGGGAATGCTTTCTAAAATGTGTGGTTTAAACCCCTTTAAACGGAGAGGTATTTCCCAGAAAGACTTTTTGCAAGTTCAACAGTTGCTTGTAAATACTGTGTGCTGAATGACAGATTCTCAGAAATAACACAGACATGTTTATTAAAGGTACCAGACAGACTCAAAATTCTAATTACAACAGATTTTATCTTCAGGTAGTATCCTTTGTTAAAACAGAAGCAATCTTGTTTTGATTGCTGTTTAAATTCGTAAATGGTGCCTCTAAGAGGCACCCTTTTGTAGAACAGCTGCCTGAGGAGTAACATGACATGCCCCATCCTTTCTGAGCTTCATGTTTACACTACGCAGCTGTCAGGTAACAGCAGACCTTGGAAATGTTTTCACTGTGAGCAGTATCAACAGAATGGGGTTCTTTCCATTTCTGAAATTCTGCTGGATCATTTTATAATATTTTTCAGCCCCCCAGATCAGTGCCACTTTGCAACTCTTGTATGCTACTCATGACTACAGAGATGAAACAACTTCTAAAATCTACTAAATTGACAAAGTAAAATAGTTCACCTCTCTATAGCAGGGTCACTAAAGAGTAATTAAAGTAGTAGTCTTAAGAAATTACGTATGTAAAAATATTTGAATTAGATTTCAAAAGCCAATTCTTAAAACTAGAATTAAACAAGTTATTATGGTTGGAATCTGTGATCTTAAAGGACTTTTCCAGCCTAAATGAATCTATGATTCTATCATAATGTCAATTATAAGAATGCTGAGAAAAAAAAAAAGTTTCTCTAAACAAGTTAAAGCATCACAGTGTGAATTTTTAAGAACAAAAATTCCCTTAAAATTAAGTAAAACACATTTAAAACATCTTGTCTGCTTGTCTGATCCTTGGAGACTTCATTTGATGCTTTATCATGTGGTTTCTTCACACTCTTTTTCCCCCCTCAGGTTGTTTTAAACAGTCTCCCAACTTCTGAGCATCTATAGACTTCACTTTCAAATATATTACATCCCTGGTTTATTACTGCCCCTGTCTAATTTTCTCTATTAGAGAGGCAACTGGGAACAAGAAAAGCCAAAAAGAGGCATCTGTTTGTTTTCAGATAAGAGTCTGGACAAGTATTTCGCAGCAATGAAGTTTCATTTCATTTTTTTAGCCTTATTTTGCAACAGAGGCTGTCCATTATTACGTAGAAATAGTTTATCTACATTTCTTACAAAATGTTCCCTTTTGTTGGTTTTTTTTCTCATGTTAGGTCTACTGAGCTTCCTGCAACAACAGAGATGGTAGAAATGGACCCTTTCACAGCCTCTGAGACCAACATTTCCACCTGTGACTTATACGAGCACAAAGACACAGCACGGATATTATTGTCTGTCTTCTATGGCTCCATCTTGATTCTTGGGGTGCTTGGAAACACCATTGCCCTCACCGTCATTTTTAAAAACAGAAAGAAGATCAACTCCACCACCCTCTATTCAACAAACCTCGTCTTCTCCGACCTGCTGTTCTGCATTGCCTTGCCAACCAGGATTGCCTACTATGCCCTGGGATTCCACTGGCCTTTTGGAGAAGCGCTGTGTCGAATCACCGCGCTCTTGTTCTACATCAACACCTACGCAGGCGTAAACTTCATGACGTGCCTCAGCATCGACAGGTTCTTCGCTGTCGTCCACCCCTTCCGATACAAGATCAGAAGGATTAAATATGCCAAGGGCATTTGTGTCTTTGTCTGGTTTCTTGTATTCAGCCAAACTTTCCCATTACTTATACAATCCATGTCGCATGAAGAAAATGAAAGGACTACATGTATGGAATATCCAAACTTTGAGAAAATAGAACATCTACCATTAATACTTCTTGCTGCCTGCTTAATAGGGTACCTTATTCCTCTGGGGATTATTCTATTTTGCTACTCTCAAATCAGCTGCAAACTTTTTCAAACAGCCAAGGAAAATCCATTGACCGAAAAATCAGGGATAAACAAAAAAGCCATCAATACAATCATATTTGTAATTATAGTGTTTATCATCTGCTTTACTCCTTACCATGTTGCAATCATACAACACATGATTAAGAAACTTCAGAAAGAACCCTTGTGCACTGAAACAAAAATTTTCCAGAAGTCACTCCACTATACTGTATTTCTGATGAATTTTAACTGCTGCCTAGATCCTTTCATCTATTTCTTTGCATGCAAAGGATACAAGAGAACTGTACTGAAAATACTGAGACGACAAGTGAGCGTATCAATTTCAAGTGCTGCCAGGTCACATCACGAAGAAAGCTCCCGTGACGCAGGGGAAACACAAATGACGGTACTTGCTAAATCTTCCAATGGAAAGCTACCTGAAAAATAGTCTGTAGTACCCCACAGTGAACCAAGACTAAAAATCCAGGGTCCACAGCAAAAACTCTTAGCGCTCCCCTACAGCAGCTTAAGTAAAATTCTGTTTCGCAGGATGTCAGAGAATCAAGGAGTGATAGACTGAAAAAGATTTGTCACAGGACAGCAGGAAAACTCAGCATTATAATCTTGCTGTATCCTTTTGACTGATCTCTTATTTTTCCCAGGAAATATGCACCATTGCAGATGTTCAGATTCCATGCCACACATACATATGCCTGGATGTTACTAGCTCAAGCAGAGCCAAATCACAGTTAGGATTGAGCACAAATACAGCTTACAGTTCAGACCAACTACAACCAGAACATCTGAAAATTTCAAGACCTCTAGCTGAGCTTCAATTACAGCGATGGTTTTGTTGGCCCAGTCACACAAACAGAGGAAATAAAATTTTGAGATAAAATAGACAACTTTGCTCATTTAACTGTGACCAAGTACTTAGTTTATAGCTCTTTCAAGGTGAAACTACATTTTACAGTATTTGGAGCACAAATGCCTTACTGGACAATTCACATAATAAACATTGTCAAATACAACACATGAAAAGCTAATGAACTGTTTGGTTCTCCCCAACACTGAACATCTCCTGTATGTAAAATCACTCATCTTTACAAGGTGTATTATCGCTTTACTCCTTTTCCTAAAGGAAAACTTTCCTTTGTAGTGTGTATTGTAAAAAGTCTCTCTCTACGCCTGTTGTATATAGATTATTTATAAACACAAATTGAAGCACAAGACTGTAATATGAAAACTGCACCATTTCAGTCAAAAGAACAGTGATACAGTGTTCTTCAGAACTTCTGCTGAAGTCAGACATGGACATAAGACAAACGTTTTAGAAACCTAAATAAATGTTCATAGTTGAGACCATTCAAAAAGTAAATTAATGGATTAATTCTGATGTTGTGAGATGGCTACCTCTCTTTAAGCACTGTTTACTGGAGAGATCAATAAATGAGAACAGCAGAATTGGCTGGGAAAGAACAAGTTTTCCCATCATGTCTTCATACAGTGTATCTGGGACGCCTTTAGGCATGCTGAAATTGGCTCAGGAAATAGACCAAATGACTTAAACACATCCTGCTGGAATCAGCTCAATACCAGCTGAGAATCCAGGATGTAAGCCCTGGGTTCCTGCTGATGTGCCCTTCCGTCACGTTTCAGCTTCCTTCCCTACTTTATTCCTGGCCCCTCTATCTTTTCTTCAGTGTTCTATCTTATTAGTATGCCTTCACTGGCCAACACAACTTGATACCTCAACCAGGAAGTTGTGATGGAAAATTAAAGAGTGCCTGATAATCATCAGTAAAAGCTATGCCACATGTTAGAACAAATTTTATTTATTTCAACTGTATTTTTCTGACATTGAGGTTGTATTGGAAGTCAAACAAGCATATCACATTTGTCATCTTTGCAATTCCTTCCTTCCTTCCTCATGTGCTGACCTCTGCCAACCTGCAAGCACAGAAGGGTCGTACCTGACAAGCAGTACAGAAACATTAAATTAACAATTAATTTTTTTATGGCAAAGAAACCACAAACCCACTATATTTCATACCACTTAAACTGCCAAAAATGAGTTTCTAATTCTAAAATACTAATTCTCTCTTTTCTAATTATAAAAGACACTATGCAGCTTCAGAAAAGCAGTGCAAGAAGAATAACTTTTATCAGGAGAAGTCCTACTTATTCTGTATGTTCAAAGTTTCTGTTTTTGTCAGCTTTTTTAATAAACTATTTTAAAACATTATTTAAGAATGTGTTCCTATTGAATTAAGCAAATGGTAACCAGATAAAATCATAGACCACTCATGAATACCTAGAAGTTGTAGAAATAAAATATATGTATTGCTAACATCTCACCAGCACAAGTTTATTTTATTCTACTAATGCTAAAAGCTAATTTTCTTCTACTAGGCTTTTCTGAGTTTTTAGTATGCATTTCATCTAACTGTGATTATAAAATCTTAAAAGACAAGAAAGCTTTTTAATATTTGTCTGTAAAATACAACTTAAATATGTATTAAAACACCACATACTGCAGGTAACTACACACTTCTAAGTAGAAGCAAAGTGAAGATTTCTACTGAACATCTTTCTCTACCCCCATTTTCTCACATTAGCAATTCTGTTATTTTCAATATTGGATTTTGTTTCTAAGTCACACCAGCATTCCCAAACAGCTAACTTAGCATCAAAATACTGCTCTAGCATGAGTCCAGTTAGATACAGGTTTGAGAAAAGCTACTTTTTTCTCATTATTTAAATGTTTCTCAAATGCAGAAGAAACCAGTAAAATAAAAACTTTTAAAAGCTGAGATAAGCTCTGTTTCCTGACAAAAGTGCTGCAAGCGATGACATACAGGTGGACAATGACAATTCCTATCTGTGGCAGCTGATGCCACTGCTCCTCCACATTCCTTGTCAGGATGCACTCGCAGCTCAAGCACACTTGTGTCAATGAGGAGACTTTTCTGTCATCTGCCAAAAGCAGCAGTGAGGGATTCACTTGGCTTGGGACACTGCACTGAAGTAAAACATTTAGAGAGCTGTTCCTTGTACCAGCTGTGGCATGGTACATGGCAGCCATCAGCAGAGAGATGGTAACAACCTGCCGCATGGGACCAAAGGAGAACAGTGAGAGTAAAGAGTTACAGCTGTTCTCAAACAACTGGTTTCCTCCATGATGCCCTTTTCCAACTTGTGCCTTGAAGTAGTGTGAGGTTTGCAAGGAAAAAAATAAGCTTTTTCTTTGGGGAAAGCTTTTCATACATTCTAAACATTGTTCCTTTATGTGTGAAAGCCTGGCAAATAACCTAGAACTCTTTCATGTTTTTCATACACAAATAAAGCAACTGACAAGTAGCAATAGGTTCAAATGGCATGTTCATTGTGAGGATCTGACTGGAGCATTTCAGAAAAACTGGGTCTCTATTTGGAGGTTGAAGTCTAGTCAGGATCTTGAAACACATGTTCTTGAAAAAACAACAGCATCTCTTATCTCTAAACTTTGGAGTGTCAGGCCAGGCAGCTGCTAAGAGGACTCCAACTATGTGGAGTCCCAGTTCTAGTACTAACACTGCATGTCCACTGCTGACATCTCCCTCAAAACCTACCCGGTAGGGAATGTGACAGAGCATATAGGAAGCAAAAATTATGATGGTGGCCAACTGGTATATTTTGGCTGTCTCTGTCCAAGTCCAGAAAAGAAAGATGGATTGACATCTACTGTCAAACATATGATCAAGTAAAGGTGCACCATGTGAAAAATCCCAAAACATGCACACTTCCAGCAGAAGAGCATCTAGTACCTTCATATTTTCTTTCACTGGGAACATAAAACTCATCAGTAATAGTGCAAGTACCCTCAGCTGCCTTGGACTCTAAGGTATTGAAGACTAATGAAATCGTGGAGATAAAGAAAGCAGTCTTCTGTGGCTTACAGTCCCAGCAGAAGAGGACAGGTATTTCCCAGGGGATTGCTGTCTGACTGTGAGGTCTGTGGTTCTGAAAGCTATATAGATGAGGAAACTGTAAGCACCATGGTCATCTTGCAAAAGACACTGACAGCAACTCTCTGAAGCTGTAAACCTGCTACCACAAATAACACAGTTCTTCAAAGTGGTTAGTGACTCCTCTTAAATCTTAAAAGCAAACTCATTAGCGTAAAAAAGGAAGGTTTTGAGCTTTTTAAAACAGATATTCCATTTAAGGAAATTTTGTTCTGAAATTTAAAAGCTTTTACATAAGCAAGGAATGGAGAGACTCTGATAAACCGATGAGACAGCCTGCAACGTGGCAAAAATAAATAGCATGCAGCTGAAGAGAAAGAGAAGAAAAGCTTTGCCTTATACAACCACTTCTGGAGGAACTGAAAAGCAGTGACATACTCTGCTCTCTTCTATCACCATGTCTGTGGTAGAGAGCAGGGGAACAACTGAATATAAACTAGGGGTTGTATTCAGCAGTATCCCACTGTGCTGGCTCAACACAGAGCCAGTGTGTCAACAGACACACAAATTACTTGAAAAACAACAAATTTATCTGAGTGCAGTATTTCCTAATACAGTCTTGGCTAATCTGCAGCCTGAAGACTAAGACTGTGGTACAAAATAAATACAAACACTCAGCCAAGCTGCAACCCTTCTCTGAAGAAAAATGGGAATTACTGTTTGTGTAGTAAATGCTAAGATATATTTCCTCAATTTTTTTCCCCTCAGAATACTCCCTTGGCTTCCTGCAATGTCTAACTTTGGACTTCCTGAGACAGATGTCTCATCTTTGCACATGACAGCCCTCAATCAATGTTTTCTTCCATCAGCCTGTCTGGTCCCTTTTTGAACTCAAATAAAATATCCACGACTGCAGCGTTTTGCAGCAAGAACCTGCACAGAATAACTACCCGTGGTGTCTGGAGCCATTTTTGTTCACTTGTGACACCTGGTAGTTTCAGCTGAAGTCCCTCACTTCTTGTACCAGAAACGAGTGAACACAGTGACTCCCTATTTACCCTGTCCACAGTACTTGTGATTTTACAGACCTGCATCAAATCCCCTTCCTTCAAGTTATCTTGTATCATCTGTGAACAGTCAGGTAACAGCTGTTCACCACTTCATTCAAACTCTAAAGAAGGAAAGAAGGCAAGTATAAATAAAGAATGGGAATCCAGCTGTGTTTGTGCTGTGTGACAGAAGGGAACAGGGTATCTCTATACACACGAGGTCAACAGCATACTGATCTACTTTTCTTACCATATTAGCATAAAGATTCTCTGAACTAGGATCTTGCCACATGACTGACAAATTTGGATAACCTTGCTCCAAGGCACTAAATAAGGAAGAACTGGACCTCAAATGGTTGGAAAAAAGGACTCACATGAGCCTCATGAAGTTCAGCAAGCCAAATGCAGAACCGAGCTAGAATAACCCCACACAGAGTGGAGGCTGGGCATGACCTGGTTAGAAAGCAGATTGGCAAAAAATTCTGGCTCCTGGTAGACAGGTTAAAGAGGAGCTAATAGTGTGACCTCATAGATAAATATGGCTGTGTTTAAAAAGAATTTTTTCCCCTCCATTTGCTACTTGTGAAATCATGCCTGGAATTCTGCACCAAGTTTTGGGTTTCCCAGTAGAAGAGAGATATTTGGTATACTGGAACAAGCTCAGCAGACTGCCACCAAAAATGTGGAAAGGGCTTGCAGCACATGTTATTGGAGGAGAGGCAGAGGGAACTGAGATGGTTCACACTGAGAGATGTTACTGCTATCTGCAACTGCCTAATGGGGAGGGATACAAAAAAGATGGCAACACCCAGTAACAGGCAAAAGTTGAATCAAGGACCAATTAAACATCAAGAAGCATTTTTTCATCGTGAGGTTAGTCAGACATTAGGAAAAGTTCCACAGAAA